TATCGCTTGGAGCTACCTGCGGAATTGGAGTGGATCCATAATACCTTCCATGTGTCTCAGTTGAGGAAGTGTATAGCCGACGAGTTGGTAGTAGTGCCGTTAGAGGATATTCAGGTGGATGCGAGCCTGAACTACGCGAAGAGACCAGTTGCGATTGTGGATCGGAAGATCAAGGTTCTGAGGAACAAGGAGGTGCCTCTGGTTCAGGTCCAGTGGCAGCATTGTAAAGGGTTGGAGCTTACTTGGGAACCAGAGCGTGAGATGCGAGTGCAGCATCCAGAGCTATTTCAGGGTTGAGACTTCGAGGGCGAAGTCAGATTCAAGTGGGGGAGAATTGTAACATCCAGAAATTTCAGGTATTATATTTATTCTTTTTATTTTGAGTTTTGAGGAAGAACTTGGCGAGTTGGTGCGTAGACTCGCCGAGTAGAGATGCGATTTCTCATCCGGATTAATGACCGGACTCAACGAGTCGCAATGGTGGACTCGGCGAGTCAGCATTGTTTAATGAAACCCTAATTTCTCAGGTTTGGGGCCTATTTAAAGGGGCTTATGGCCGTCATTTGTGCTCACCAGCCCCCAGAGCGAAACTCTAGTGCATTTGAGCGTGTAGAGTGAGAGAAGGAGCCATTATCAACCTTGAAGGTGTTGTTTAGCAAGGAAAAGGAAGTTTTAGCCAAGAGGAAGCAAGAGGAACAACTTCCTGAAGATTTGAGGTCCAGAACATCACATTTGAGGTACCATTTTCAAACCCTTTTCTGTTGAGGTGATGTTCATGTTGATTTAGGGTTTATTGAGCCCTTTTATGGCTAGATCTAGTGCCCATTTGGTCCCTTAAGCAAGTTAGGTTCTGGATCTGGACCCTTGGAGGTCCAGAGTGTCCCTTTGTCCAACTTTTTTATGAATCCATGGAGGTTTTGGTTTGGGATCTTTGTGTTTGAGGGCAAAACACCATTTATGAGTCATTAGGTGTGATATGAGCGCTAAGACATGAAGTTTACGTGATAAATAAGCTTGGAAGGACTGGATCTATGATTTAGTGAAACAGATCTGACCTCAGAAGGTCGTTTGGGGTTGTGCATGGAATGCACTCTCCGAGTCCATTGCCAGACTCGACGAGTTGGTGTGGGTTGTTCATAGATTTCGAACCAGGGGTTGAGTAACCGAGTTGGGTAAGTGACTCGATGAGTCGGAAGGGACTCAGAGGAAATGGGGTCCTCGTAGGGACTCGGCGAGTCCACGCTAGACTCGGCGAGTCGGGGTTGACCATTGACCATTGACCAGAGTTGACCGGTGTTGACTTGATAGAGTTAGTCAACCTTAATTAGGAAGTGTTAATTAGAGATGTATTGTGTTATAGGAGGACTATAGCTCGGGAGATCGAGCGCTAGTGATTTCAGGGATTTACGAGTTACCGAGATACGCGAGGTGAGTCTTCTCACTATACTTTACCTTGAGTAGGTAAATAGAGTTATGTGATACAGTGCTATATATATATATATATATATATATATATATATATATATATATATATATATTGTTTGTGGTACTGCATTCTTCTATGTGATTTATGACGTGCATGCTTGCAGAGTTAGAACCTGATGGTTCACAAAGTTTGGGTGCACGGACCCACAGAGTTATAACCTCGAGTGGCTAATATGTGTTATATGTGGTATTTTGGGGAACTCACTATGCTTTGTGCTTATAGTGTACGAGATGTTGGTTTATTGTTATATGTTATACATTGAGTTTCAAAAAATGATGTTTTTATGATTTACAAATGAATTATGTTTTTATAAATGCGAATTTTTTTTTTGGAAATTTACGGTGTTACACAAGAGATTCTGGTTGCAGGGTTAGTCCTACACTCGCATATTCTGGTAGAGTGTTACCGAGGACGTGTCTCCAATCTTAAGAATAATGAATTTACAAGTAATAATATAGAAGATCCTGTTTTATGGTTAACATGAATCCTTTGTAAAATATAAAATATAACATTTATGATGAGATTCCTGAGTTTCCTCACTTTAGTTTTGAAAACTATCTCTACAAGTTGATTTCTTAATCGGTTGGTAAAACGTTTTTCTGTTTTAAAAGCATACTGAACATGTAAGTTTTTCATACAAAATAATAGGTTTTGACTACAAGTTCCCTTGTACTTTTTTTTGTATTCCGCCCATGAAAAAGTGAAAAACTCAGAAAAAGGTGTAGGGGTATGAACTCACCTGCAGTAGGTGGAGAGGATGGAAGTGTCAGGTAGGATGCTAGGTGTCAAGTGAGGATTTCAACACACCCACGGATCCTATGTAACATGTAATGATACATAATGGCATGTAATTAGTTACTTAATCACTAATTAAGTAAGTAAAGGCACTTTAATGGATGGAAGCACTTTGATTCAAGTGCTAGGAGTTTTAGGGATTGTATCTAAGGAGAGTATGGCCTCACTTTGGAGTTTACTCTTCAAATGGTAGTCCTTAGGGGTGTTTAAAAATTTTGAACCATCCCCCCATGATTTTACGGCCGTAAACTCATGGTTATGGTGTCATTAGGTGATCAAAGGTCTTATGCTTCACGAAGAAGGGTCCTAGGGTTGAATCAAAGGCTTAGGAAGTGGTTAAGGACCAGATTGGCACACTTTTTGGAGTTTACGGTCCTTGGACCATGTTTGGGAGTTTATTGCCGTAAACCCATGAGTTTACGGCCGTAAACTCATGGTTACTCCCTTCATTTCGTGTTTTGTGGTTCTTAGATCATTCATGCAAGTTCCTAGTTCATTAGCCAAGCATTGGAAGGAGTTTGGGGCATGAAAACCCCTTTTTGGGGTGTTTACGGTTTTGGGAGGTTCCAAAACCATAAACCCATGTTCTTGGGGTTTTTGGGTGTTTAGTCCATGGATTTGCAAGTATGCTAAGCAAACAACTAGCTAGGAGGGGTTTACTTACTTATGTGAAGTTTGTAGGAGTGTTTAGGACCCAAAAACACTAATATGTTCTTGGTGATTTGAAGATCACTTGAATATCTAGTTAAAACCAAGAATCCATGGATGAAGTGAGGTGTAAACACTAGATTAGGTGTTGTAAGAACGAATTTTGGGAGAAAACACATACATTTTTTATGCTTCTTGATCAAAATCGGAATTTGTAGAAAGAGAAAGTTTCTAGAGTGTGAAAAAGGTGGAATTGAAGGCCATTCAATCCTTATATAGGGTGAGTTTACCGCCCAAGAGAGTTTACTGCCCAAGAGAGTTTACTGCCCAAGAAAGATTCAAGAGAGTTTACTGCCCAAGAGAGTTTACTGCTCAAGAGAGTTCACGACCGTAAACTCTCTGTTTACGACTGTAAACTCCATCTTATGGAGTTTATGGCATGATTTTGGTGTTAGGGTTTTAGTGGTTGCTTTCTAACACTTGTTCCTTAAGTGTACTAGCATCGGAATACTTAAACAGGCCTGAAATTTAGCTAAATGGTAATAGAAATGAATTTGACTTTTAATTAAGTGTTAGACTGTAGAAATTATACATACAAAAAATTTGGGTTGTCACACTTACCAAGCCTTTGTCATGCCAAAAACAACATAAAAATAAGAAATTTATACTTTCTTGAAATTTAAATTGTGGAAATGAAATATGAAGTCATAGCTTATCAGTGAGATAGAAGTGTAGAACTTACCTATGACGCCATGTAGTATCTATTTTAAAAATTAAGCAAACAAGAAAAGAAAGAGAGACAAGTTAAAATATATCAAAAAGATGAAAGCAAAAGGGAATATTTTTAACAAGAAAAGAAAGGGAGGCACCTCAGATAATGGAACACCTCTAGTTGTAACAAATTCATCCTTGAATTGGCCCTAAATTAATTCAAATACTTAATAGGATTACAAAGACAAATACTACAACAATAATATTAACTAGTTGAATTGAAAAAAATAAAAACAAAATTTGACCAAGTTTGTCTTATATGGTACCTTTCCTTTCACTAAAAAAGAGCATTGCTTTAATAGAGTAGTAATTGAAATTAATGATTTATTTGAAATGGAAGCCCATAATATATCTTCATCACTACCCTACAGACAAAAATTTATAAGAATTTCTCGTAATATAATTCGCATTTTTCAAATTAAAATAATCATACAAAATTACAAACCTTACAATTCAACAAATATTTCCAAAATCGTTTCATGGTCCCAAATTCTTGAGGATATGAACGACCTAATTTTTGTTTCTGCAAAATGTATACCAACATAAAATATGAAACCAAATTAATTTTTTTTTGTTGAATTTACTTTAAAGATTTACGAATTAAAAATACCAGAAATTGTTTTTTGTGTTGAGATAGCAATGCCTTTATATCTTCGTTTGAAAGATTAGGAGAAAAGTCAGCAATAAGTGTTCCCGAATTGATATGTAACTAAAGTTATACAATTAAAATAAATAAATAAATAAATAATAAAGAAATTGGTTTCTTGCCTTTATAGATAGAATCAAATAGATCACGGCCCCCCAAGCAGATAAGCAAATAATTACGGGCCCACTAAGTCCCCAATGTGTAAATAACATTGGCCCAACCTAAATTCAAGAAATAGCACTGTACTTTTATTTATTTGTGTATTTATAAATTTATAAGTTTTTTATAAAATTCATGAGAAAAACTAACTTTGGTAAGATGTGGAATGTTCTTCTTCAAAGATTCAAGCTTTAAACTTGCCTTCACTTTCAGGAATGTAATCAGAAAAAAAATGTTTCAAATTCTCATCATCTTTAAAGAAAAAACAATGATATTACTTGTAATATAGTCATAATAAACTATAATCAATACCCTAGATAACTCTATCAACTGGATATCATCAATCTTGAATGTAAATAAACTTGGAACCAGTTTAATTATAGAATGTCCAAGTTGATTTGCAAGATTATAACCCTGTAACAAAATAATCATGTCATAAAAAATTAATCATCATATTTAGATAAAATAAATATGTCAAAAAGTGTAACAAAAAACCTATTGACTGATGCCACTAGCAATTAATAAGTAATCAGCTTCAACAAAATCCACATAATCAATCGTACGATTCTTAATTTTGAGTATGAATTTTCCACTTTGAGAAATAGAAGCTAATGTGACAAATTTTCCTGTCTGCAGTGTAGCTAATTTAACAGACAAAATTTGAAAATGTGAATATGTAAATACCAACAAATAAACATAAAGTATAGAAATACTATAGTTATAAGAACAAAAAAATTATACCTCCTCTCTGTCTTGCTTCATTTAAAAGGCAATCAACTATTGTAGACGAATTGTCACTCACACAGAAGACCCTTCCATCTGCCTCAATCTAAACGGAAAGATTGTAAATTTAGTAGAAACTATATGTCTATATATTGTATGAATGACTAATAATAATGTCAAGATTCAAGAAAGCTTACATTTGTTTCCTACTTCCATATTCAGAATCATTAGGAAACATGAATAATTTTAACACATGTATCCCTTAATCCTTGCCCTCCATACATGAAAACTTCATTAAGACATTAACTTTATATATATATATATATATATATATGGAGCTTTTTATTTCGTATGGGATGATTAAAGAGTTTAACTGGTTTACTTTGGTCTGCAACTCCATTAATTTCAAATCCTTGGCTGGATTATTATGGTTTCTATTTGATTCTTCTAAATCTTTTATTCTTCTCAACAAATCCAAATTGTATTCTCTGTTTTTTGTTTCGAGTTGTGCACGCCCACGAAGATTCATTATTAATAGTTCGATGAACACATCATAGTTGTTTAATTCTAGATGATCCAATTGTTCATTTCTTGTATCATCTTCACTTTCTTCTGTAGAACCATTCATAATTTTCTGAAGGTTATCAAGTACTTCATGTATTACATAGGCAACAAGCTCATTCGTCTGTTCTAAATCCTTGATATTTTCACTCATTTCCTTGAATGATTATAGAAGTAAGTTACGGGTTTTGAGAGATTCTTCAAGCTTTTCTTGTAAATCTTGGATTACTTTAATGGCTGCATCGATAAAAGTAGCCACATGAGCAAAGATATTGTCACCAACAATTGCTTCACTTGAATGAATGATGGAAATGCCCCCAATTGATGCATCAAGCTTTTTGTGAAGCACCTCCAACTGGTTACTAAAAGAAGCCATGTCATCCACTTGTAACTGCAATTCATGGATTCTTGATTCAGAGTTGTGAAGCTTTTCTATAAGCTTTGAGTTTTGTGTTTTAGTGTTGATACTTGTAGATTGTTGATTCTGATGCTTTATTCCATACATAAACACTCTACAGAGCCAAGTCTAGGGTTTCGATATCACAAAAGAGAAGTATACCCTATTTGACCTCTTCAAAAAAGCAATCACTGAATTAAATAATAGCAAATGCAGGAGAATATAATTGAGCTAATTCATTACCATTGAGTGTACATATCTAGAAAAACAGTCTTATCACCAGTGGCATTAACGATTAGCCAAAATGTATCCTTATCAACCGCGGTAACTTAACCTACAACGACCATTGGACCGGACATCTCCAAGCTCGATCTCACCTTCACCGAAGACCTCAAGTTTTTTTGGTTTTACTATCGATCGACTTGGTTGAAGCAACGGATCGGTGAACATCTTTGCTGATGGTAAACTGTTTAGTCGGCCATGATGATAGTGATCCAGTTGATATCGGCGACGAAATCGGCTGGCAAACATGATGAATTTGTAACGCCATTGTAGAGATTGAGGGCAGTTATCTCGGAGTATATGAATGCTTGGAAGTTGGAAGGAGATGTGATGGAGAATGCTTGATGATACGATATCTTGTGTAAAAGTATGGAGTTGGCCTTGAGTTCGATGTTGTACCGGAGATTTTTGTGTATCCATTTAGGGCAAAAGAGATGTTTAGTCGATTTAGGGATATCACTCTTTATTGGTAGTCAAAATTAGTCAATCTTGTTTATCCTCTTGTTAAACCAATTAATCGTGTTTAAAAGAATTATCTATATAAATAATTTGGTCAAAATTAGTCAAGACTCCTTATTTAGTCAAAATATAAATACAACAGACTTTTTCAAATGTGTTTTTCTTTTTATTTTATCAACTTTTTCCAAATATTATTATAGTAATATGTTTGATAAGGACCGGTCAATAATGTAACCAGTCTTTGTGTAACTCTCTAAAAATTCAAACCAATTTAAACTTTTCAAAAGCAACCCAAATCCATTAAGTTATTATAAAAAGGTTTTCAATACATTTATTATCAGAGTATTCCCATAACCATAACATAAAACGTAAACATGAGGAGCGGTACGATCACGCCTTTGCCTTGCCACAGTCTCCTGAAGTACCTGAAAAACATTAAACCACAACTGTAAGCACGAAAGCTTAGTAAGATACCCCCAAAATACCAACCACATATACCATATACTTAACAAGCCATATCATAACAGAACATAGAACAACCATGCAATTCGGGTCTACTGTGTGACTGGTCCGCCGCATCGGGCCTTCAGTCCACCTGGTCCACCCTCCCAGTCTAGCCATATCCCTCGAGTTTGTAGTGTGGTTGGTCCGCCCGCACCGGGCCTTCAACCCACTTGGTCCACTCTCTGAGTCTACAATATGACTGGTCCGCCCACATCGGTCCTTCAGTCGGCTTGGTCCACTCTCCGAGCCTCGACATGTCTAGTCCGCCCTCGTGGGGCCTACAGCCTATCCGGACCGCTCGCTGGGTCTTCGGGATAACCGGTCCGCCCTGGGCAGGACCCACCTCAACCCAACCCAGTCCAACAACCATGTGCACATAAACATATAACATATAACATATAACCATTCACAACTAATCAACCGATCTAACAGATCACATAGACTAGCAACATCCTAACCAGGATATCGACCTAACCGGTCACTAACATATACCATCCTACATACCAGGATATCAACATAGCAAAGCAATAACATATCATGACTACTACCCGGATTACAATCTGAATAAGGGCCAGCCTTGGTGCCTTAGACCCTGACGATATAGTGAGGATAACTCACCTTGCAACTGCTGACTGAAAAGATAAGATCATGCTGCTCCAACCTCCGACACGAACTCCGCCCCTGATAATACCAAAAGACCGAATCCAAAGAATACCAAAAATTACCAAAATGCCCTTGGAAGTCAACTGGTCAACTCTCGGTCAAAGTCAAAGTCCTCAGTAAAGGTCAAACTTCCTGACTGACTCTACTCGCCGAGTCAGCCCGCTGACTCGCCGAGTCCCCCAACTCTAAAAAATCCCATCTCAACTCACTAAGTCATCTCTTGACTCACCGATTCTCAGCTTAACCAGAAAAGGCTAGGACCTCAAGACCAGACTCACCGAGTCCAAGAACAGACTCGCCGATTCCAAGGCTATCTTCAACCAACTCGCCGAGTTGTTCTTCCAACTGGTCGAGTTCCTGCTCACCTTCATGCAACTCACCGAGTACACTCTTGTGACTCGCCGAGTACCCCTAGATCTTAATCCATACAGAAGCTTTCCAGGACATGTAGATGATCCAAACCATAGATCTACCCTTCTACAACCCATCCATCACATAAAGTGGCAAACTTTACGTGAATCCAAAGAGATCTAAGAATATAACACTCTATAGTTAGGGTTTGGGACAAGATGGCCTCACCAATCACTCAAGAACAAGGAATTTAATGCACTCTAGACCTTCTCCATTCCAGATCTGAGGTAGCAACCCCAGATCTAACATCCAAACTCAAAATATCACAAGCTTTTCTTTCCAAATACTCCAAAATGATGAATCTAGATGAATAACAGCCCAAGCAACGAAATAATACCTCAAAAGGAAGCTCCAACAGAAGAAAAATCTGAATCCTAGCAAAGCCCCTTGCTCCAAGCTGATGGGTTTTAGCCATAAGAACTTTCCTATGTGCGCATGCAAAACCCTAATGCTTGGATCTAGGCTTTCTAATCAAACATGCTTTGAATCCAAGACTTCTAATAACTATTTAGGTGTAATAACAATATTGAAACAGATCTAGAATCATACCTTTGAATTCCTTGTTAATCTTGTTGTCTTGGAGCTTTTAGAGTCACAATTGTCACTCCTCTAATGGCTTACAAACACCAAATAGCAAGGGGGATGATTTGGGAGAGAGGAGAGGGAAGGAATTCAGCCAGAGTCTCTCTACTTTAGATGGGATGTCGAATTCCATCAGCCATAGGGTCTATTTATACTTGTAGACTCCTTAAGGTTTACAGCTTAAACCCTAATTGGATAACTTAGACTTTAAGTTAATCCATATCCTTATCTAAGATACCCTTTGGACGATTTTGGCTTATCCAAGCCTTAGAAATCGTCCAACCTATCTTCCAAAAGGATTTATAGTCCAAAGTGTAACTATCAAGCAATTGACAGTTTATACCCTCTCATTTAATTAATCACCAAATTAATTCCAATTAATTCTATGACTTATATTAATATATTATTCTTTATATTATTCTCATAATATACTAATAATATTTACTCTCTCTTAATAAATCATCCTATCAAGTTGCTATGGTGAAGGTAACCAAAAGGACCATGCACAATCGGGTCAAATACTCGCCTAATATAGTTGTAGCCTTAGACACTATTCCAACAGTCTCCCACTTGGATAAGTCTAGTAACTATATGCGCAGGTACATTTCGATTTGCAATCATAGCTCTCAAAGACGCTGTCAAACTCTAATCTAATCAATCTTGTCCTTTAGATAAGGGATCGTACAGTCCTCTGTTAGATATCATGCTGACAATACTATGGAATAGTTAGTCTAGCATTTGGTTTCTCGATCTTCGATTTATTTGACATAGAACTTAATCGAACACATCAATTTAGTTCTAACCGGGCCCGACACATAAGTCAAATCAAATCATCGAGCGGCCGAGATATCACTTTTTCCTTCTTAAAAGTTACAGATAAACTTCGACTTATATGCATTTACTTATTCATTAACCAACTACACACAACAATGCGTTTTATAACATTGAGTTACCAATGCGTTTTCGCATTATCAATGTACAATCAATTAACCAATAACAAACCATATATCTAGGTTTTAAGACTATATGATATTATTGTCTCGCGATCACCCTTTTATATCATATTCCATAAGGTGATTCCAGCAAGTGCGAGTTTGTTCCAATGCTCAAACCTAGTTCATAAGCACTCATGAACGTTGCAACAATCTTTTGCTATGTCTAACACCATTTAGAACTCTACACACCTATTCACGACAATCTTCATTCATATCTACTTCCAACATATGAACGATTGTGGACTATTTGAACAATTCGATTATTCTTAATAAACTCAATTATTTTGGAAGTCAAAACATGCAAAGTGAAACAATAGTTAAACAATTAACATGTGATAGTAACATTACTTATAAAGAAAACTCCTTTATTTAATCATCAAATGTTAATTACATTTATCTATTATACGTTTCTAATACTATCTAATCTATGCTAATATCATCCTTCAGCCCAATACTCCTAGCATGCTGCAAATGCTTAACCCTACTCAGTCCCTTCGTAAGCGGATCTGCTGGGTTATCTTCTGATGATATTCTCTTCAGTGCGAGTTGTCCTTCTACACGATGTTTAATAAAGTGATATTTTCTGTCGATATGTCTTGATCTACCATGATCCCTCGGTTCCTTGGTCAAGGCAACCACTCCTTCATTATCACAGAAAATCTCCATGGGCTCCTTTATGGTAGGTACAACTCCAAGATCACCGATGAAATTCTTTAGCCATATTGCCTCCTTCGACGCTTCGCTCGCTGCGATGTACTCTGATTCGCACATTGAATCAACTACGGTTTCCTGCTTGGAACTCTTCCAAGTTACTGCTCCTCCATTCAGGATAAAGACCCAGCCCGACTGCGAACGGTAGTTATCCCTGTCGGTCTGAAGTTGGCGTCACTATACCCTCGCACCTTCAAGTCATCACTCCCTCCAAGGACTAAGAACCATTCCTTCATCCTCCGAAGGTACTTAAGGATATTCTTCACCGCAACCCAATGGGCTCTGCCTGGATTCCCTTGATATCTACTAACCATGTTCAAAGCAAAGGCTACATCAGGGCGAGTACAAGTCATAGCGTTCATGATTGAGCCAACTGCGGAAGCGTATGGAACACGGCTCATTTCAGCTATCTCGGCTTCGGTACTCGGACTTTGAGTCTTACTCAACTTGGCATTGCTTTGTATCGGTAGTTCTCCCTTCTTCGAGTTTTCGATACTAAAACATTTTATTATCTTCTCTAAGTAAGTGTTCTGACTAAGTCCTATTAGTCTCTTACTTCATTCTCTTACTATCCTTATTCCCAAAATGTAGGAAGCCTCTCCAAGGTCCTTCATAGCGAAACACTTACCGAGCCAGGACTTAACCTCCTGCAGAGTCGGGATGTCGTTTCCTATGAGTAATATGTCATCGACATATAGAACGAGAAAGCTTACTATACTCCCACTGGCTTTGACATATACACACGATTCATCTTCGCTTCGTACAAATCCAAACTCTTTGACTTTCTCATCGAAGCAAAGATTCCATCTGCGAGACGCTTGCTTGAGTCCATAAATGGACTTCTCAAGCTTACACACTCTATTCGGATGCTTCGGATCCACAAACCCTTCTGGCTGAGCCATGTAAATATCCTCAGCCAACTTCCCGTTAAGGAAAGCGGTCTTGACATCCATTTGCCAAATCTAATAACCATGAAATGCGGCAATAGCTAGCATCACTCTAATAGATTTTATATTCGCAACTGGTGAGAAGGTCTCTTCACAGTCAACTCCGGGAGTTTGAGTAAAGCCTTTCACAACTAATCGTGTTTTATAT